TCATCACTGTGTCTGTCACGCGACTCTGTTGCCCTTTCGGGCTTGAACTGATGGTAAAACTAAGGACATTATGTACTGTCTTTACATTTATGTTTAAAGCTGAAGCTCGCGATTATGGAAAGGGACGTTACGTTTCCGACGCGTGCTTGTGGTGTTTGGCCAATCACAATGCACTGGGTCGGAAGGAGGGGCTTTGTAGAAAATGATGCATTTGAGAGAGGTGGGGCATAGAGGAACTACAATAATGTACAGTATTTGAAAAATAATGTGTTTTTTGAACATTAAAGCATGTCAACATATTCTGTTACACCAAATACACAAAATAATGATCTTTAAAATTGTTTTTTGAAAATTAAAGCATGTCAACATATTCTGTTACACCAAATACACAAAATAATGATCTTTAAAATAGCATCATATGACCCCTTTAACTAATGAACCTTATTGTAAAGTGTTACCAATTTATAATATACTGTATATTATAACTTATATTAAAAATATAATTAAATATAAATATTTAATTGCAATAAAAATATGTACATGTGCCCAGCAAAACCTTGACCCCTTGGTTGGAAAACAAAATAATTGTCTGATAGATGTTTGTACACATTGTCTTTCAGTTTGTAATTGGCTGGCCTTGTCTGCCACATTTGCATATTTTCTCTGTAATACTTTAAAATACTGAGCCTTCTTAAGCCATTAAAACAATTAGCACCATGCATCAAAGGAAAATTATTTGTGTGTAGAACTGTTCTGACACAAGTTTAGTATCACACGATAGATAAAAGTAATTTTGATCCTGATTGCGATTCTAAAAGAAGCAGCGAGCATTGCATCACCTTTTTCATGCGCCGTCTTATCAGCCGCAGCAGGGATAAACAGGAAGGATTTAGTCTTACAAAGTGATTTCAGAGTTATTTTGCCCTGACACCACGCAGCTATAAACAGACATCCAGACACAACTCATGACACCACGAGACAGTGCAGAGAGACACGCGGCGATGACACATAAAAAAGGGGAAGTTAACGAACTGGACCTAAAATGAGAGAGCGCGCTGTGTTAAGACGACCTGGTGTTATCAAGCTTGACAGTTGTGACAACTTGAATCACATCAGCAATTAATAAGCAAATTTAGTTCATATTTAAGCGCAGCTTATTTGCTGCCAATTAGCAATGAATTAGCGGTTATTAAGCAATTAAATTATCAAATAAGGTCTATGGAAATATTGGCAAGGCCAGGTCAGCCTAATCAGGCAGATACTGACAAGAACCAAGCTGCAGAATACATAAATATTCTTATTTCTTCTATCAGTGCCATAGTCTGTTTAGACCAGTGGTCGCCAACCCGCAGATCGCGATCGACTGGTAGATCGTATCACTGTCCCAGTAGATCCCGAAAAGAACAGTAAAATAAGTACAAAATGCATTACATTTATGGGGTTATATTAATGTATCACTGAAGGGTACTGTCTTGAGAAAAGTTTCGATGGCAATGGCATTTTCTTCTCCGTATAAAGCGCAACTCTGCTTTGTTTACAGCGGTAACCAAGAAAACGCGGTCGGTTCATAAGCAGTGTTGCCAAGTCCGCGGTTTTCCCGTAGAATTGGGCTACTTAACACTATTTCCGCGGGTTGTTGTTCATGTCCGCGGGTTGAAGCGACCCCAACAGTGGCATAACTTTGCTTTGAAAAGTCGTGGGGACACCTCGCAACTCGTTTTGCTAGTTTTTTATTTAATAACCTAATTTACTTGGGGACTGGGTTTAGAGTTGGACAAACTTAATTTTTGCTTTTCAAAAATACATCATGTACCAGGGGCAGCGCCAGAGAATTTTGAACACAGGTGCTGAGGGAGTGCTAGATCATTGACAGGGGGAGCTGGGCGATTCAGGGCTCCAGACTCATTCTTCCCACTGGTCGCTCTTTTGCGATTAACTTTCTCAGTTGGCTGCACGAGCACGGTTTTTTATTTATTTATTTTTTTACGCTACAACATGCTATTAATCAATGCATGCTGATGAACTTTTATCGTAGTTTATAGTTATATGGAAACGAAAGTAGTTAACATTCAACCCGTTCTTTTTCATCAGTAGTATTATTTGTGATTTGAATTTTGTGAACGGGAGTTCCTCTTTTGCCATGTTATAAGCCGGGCTAGTTCAAGAACTGAATTACAGGTAGGGGGAAATACAAGTTCAAAATGAGCACTTTCCAACCTAAAATCTCACACCATTGATTTTAATTAAGTTGTTTGTTGCTGTTTTTACAGACCACTGAGACACAAATATCCATTTCTTTTCCGGATTTTAATTATACCTTCCTGAAAATTGAATTAGAAGTGCACGGGGCAGAGAATACAAATTTTACACAAAATACATTTAAACTACCAATATCAGTTCTTGGTAAGTTTGACTTTTGAGATTTTAAGCTATTTTGAAAAAAGCCTCTTTTAACACAAAATGGCAACCAAAAGCACAACAGCACTGTTTGTCCCTATTCCCTGCAAAGTTTGATCTATGATGGCATTGTGTGCAATGACCAAATATTTAGTATAATTTTTAATATTAATTTTATATGATTATACAAAAGTGTTTATTAATTGATTAATAAAGGATACATTTTAAATAATTATATAATATTTTTAATGGATTAATTGGATATTTAATTGGATATTTATGCATCCAGTATCCCTGAAATTATTCAATGACTCATTTATAAAGACACAAAGTCACCAAGATTTTGTTTTGAACAAACTGGTTGACTAAATGATTCAATGACTCACTCATAAAGACTATCACTTGTTACTGAACAAATCATTGTTTTGAATGAAACAGTTCAATGAATCAATGATTCATTAAAAAAAAGTCAACTGCTGCATCTAAAATCGATAGTAGATACTACATTTGGTTTGAAACTAGCTTTGCGTTGTTAAAAAAAAAATGTTTTATATAATATGAATGTGTGTAGTATAAATGAAATTCAAGCGTATTTCATCTGCCATGTTGCCACTGTCATGTGGCGTACCGTATCAGTCCTCCCCTGTGGCCTCATGGGATAGTAAAGAGTCCATCGAAAACGCGCTTCAGAATTCCATCAGAAGTAGTAAATAAGGTACTTTTTATGAATACTATGAATTCGGACATGTTTTTTGCCTACTGTATAGTAGGGAAGTAGGCATATTCACATGCAGGGATTGATTCATTCATAAGTAAAATCTTTTTGTTTGTCATTGGTCACATTTAGCTCATTTAATATTGAAGACGGTGGCTTGACTTTTGCCTTGGATGCATCACATCCTGCCTACAAATGCAATGATACAAACTCTCACATGTATTTTAGACTGATGGATCGATGGATCTGCCCTGCCAAGTGCATGTCCATTTATTCCATTCAACCAGGTCAGAATGACCTGCATGACGAATGCTCATTTCTATAACAAAACCATCTTGTGAATAGGTGTCAGGAAAAGAAAGAATCATCATTTGGTCCTATCATTCAGTCCTAACTTCTGATGTATTTTAAGCTCTGTATGTGTCATGCTCATTCTTCCCATTTCTCTCTCTGCCTCCTTCACTCTCTTTTCAGTTTGATTTGTTTGATGTCCATGCATGTGTGGAGCGGGAGCTTGTCTAGATATGAACTCCATGGAGACGAGTCGTTTTAAAGTCTGCCAGGAGAATGCCAGCATAAGACAAGGTTAGATGAAACATCCTCTCTGCTTCGCTGTATTCCTTCTGCTGCAGTGTGAGGAGGGAATGCATGACCTCGCTCTAATTACATCCAGCACTTCAGATGACTACTAAACAGCCATGCCTCTGTCTTTCTCTCATTCTTTATCTCTTTCTTTTTCTCTGGAAAAAGGGTGTGCAAAAACTACAAACTATGATGCTTTTTGTCTACACTTTACATGATGTTCTACCCACATTCAACTGCCAGACAGAAACAGATCCTCTTTATAAGTGTCCATTCATAAGTCCACGTTGAAATAATCAAACTCAAAAGATTTTTCAGTTGACAAACTGAAAAACTAACCAGAGTTCAACAGAGCCCAGTTTTCTTTTCACACAAACTGTCTCTGGAAGCACTAAGATCTCTTTTTCCTTAATCAGTCCACATAGTCCACACATAGTCACATTATTAAAATAAATATGAACATTGATGATGATGATGATGATAATAATAATAATAATAATAATAAATGAACAATTACATTTAGAAATTAGTACTAGTAATAAAAATTATTTCTATTACTAAAATATAATAGTATTTATTATATATTAGGGTACAACTGGGCTACAGGCAAAAACGTTGCGTAGCACTTTCCAAAACATCCGCTTTTCAAGATGCACATGTATTTTTGTCTGATCCTTGACGCGATCACGCGCAGCAGTGCAAAGTTGATTCTGTGCTTACTTGATCTAATATTTTATGTTTTTTTAAATGTTGTAGATTTAAGTAGCAAATGAGAATCGCTAAAATTAATGCATTTATTTTGAGACAAAGGTTTTCTTTATGATTTTCTATTTTGTTTAAGATTCCTTGACGCACGCGCAGCAGTGCAAAGTTGATTCTGTGCTTACTTGATCTAATATTTTATGTTTTTTTAAATGTTGTAGATTTAAGTAGCAAATGAGAATCGCTAAAATTAATGCATTTATTTTGAGACAAAGGTTTTCTTTATGATTTTCTATTTTGTTTAAGATAATTAAAGCAACAGTTTTTAAATAACAAACAAATATGTAAAAGTATGGTATTTGGGGTAAAAAGCGCCCCTGCAGTTGGGGTTAAAGGCGCACAGTAATTAACATGATAATTAATAGATGGCTGACTTTTCCATTTGTTGACATGACATGGTTAGATTCAGATGGTAAATATCATATATTATGTTGGGTGTCCATATTAGAGATAATCACCATGTTTA